GCGCCGGTCACCGCGGGCAGCGCAGTGACACCAGAGCCAATGCCCGGAGACGATCAGCATGGGAAAACAGCATCGGTTTGGATGTGCAATGGGCTAAACGGATGCAATATTATGTATTAAGCATTGACTGATCCTGTCCAGTTTGCACCCAGCGTCGAACAGAGCTTCCCCCCTGTAGGAAGCCAGAAGGAAAGTTATTTACCAGCTCTGGGAGCAGCGGGGCAGGGAGGTCTCAGCGAAGTCCTGCATGAGGCTCAGCTCACCTGAGCATCGCTGCAGGCTCAGGACGGACCATCTCCAAAGGCTGCTCTTCACCCAAGCTCACCCCAGGGGAGGGCAGCAGCTCAGGTGAATCCAGGTGACGGGATGCAGGGAACCTGTTGGGAAACTGTCCCCAAAGAAGAGCCTGGAGTACAACCTTGCCTCTCTGCACAGGGAAAGGCAGGTTCCCATCTCCCCAAGAGCCATCTTGGCTCAAGGCAAGGCAAGTCCAACCCAGCCAGAGAGGACACGTATTGATCTTAGAGGCAGTTCAGAAATGGGGACAGGGCTCTGCTCACCTTATGACGGCCTAGGGGACACTCAACCACCTCTGGCAGGAAGACTCTAGCAGCTGGACAACCTCTGGGCTGAGAAGGAGGATTTTGCACAGCAACCAAGCTGAACCCAGCCTCTTTGGGCAATTTTGTTAGCAGCTACTCCATGCTCTGAGCAAGGACACGTCCAACAGACACATTTTAGGTTGCCCTCCCTGTCTACAAGGAGGTCTGGAAGAGCCGGGCAGCAGCAGACAGGCTGCCCAGATGGCGAGCAGCCACGTGCCCATCCATGCCCATCCAGATCAAGTATCCTTGATCCCAGGCATGAAGGAAACCTAAGCCAGCAAACTCACCTCAAGGTGCCCAAGAACGAGATCGGAACCAACTGCTGGTGAGAGAAACTAAACAGTCGCTCTGTGGACTGCCCTCAATGCTGGGCATCTCAAGGATGCTCAAAAGAAGGAAACTACACACGTCCAAGCTGTGAACAGATGGATCCAGGCTGCTGCTGGTGCCTCTCAGAGCTTTTGCCTCGCTAAGTTACAGACACATCCCGATTTCGTGCAAGATGACGGATTTTTCCCAGGCCTTGATTTGGGCTGATGATAATTACCGGCGCTGTCTCCAGTTTGTCATCTACCCGTCATCCATTGCAGTGGGCAAGTGGCTGCAGACAGGAATGACCTCTAGCTGCAGCGACGGTCGGAGCAGTGAAACCTCCTGCTTCTGCTGACAGCAGCTTGCCAAGGTCCCCAGCTGTCCGGCCCCGCTCCACTGTCATCCCCCGCTGCCCTGAGGATGCTTTTGGATATCTCTTTCCTGAGCACTGTCTTATCCAGCTCATATTAAATGGATTAAGAGCCAGCTTACTTCTAATCAGGTTTGTTTCAATATGAAGAGAAATCCGGACGGATTTCCTGCTTGGCATAATCAGAAGTGGGGCAGAGAGGGCAAAGTAAATGCTTCTTCCCGTGTTTCCTCATCACCTACGAGACCCGCTACAGGGAATTCCTGCTTTAACATGGGAAACAGGGAGGTGTCAAGGAGCTGAGCCGGGTGCGCTGGGGGAGCAGAGGCAGTAACTGGAGGCTGGAGACACTCGTGCTGATGAGGGGCTCCCTGGTAGCCAGCCCAACCCCTTCCATTACAAAAGGCTCCGGAGCCCCTCTCCTGAGGGAGCTCTCCAAGCCCTTATGCTTGCAGAAGGCCTCCAATATTCAGGGAGCGGGAATTCCCTCCGGCTATGGAACCGTCTCCTCTTTGCCCCAGGGAAACACCGCTTGGCGCTTGCCGAGCTGGGAGCGCTTGGAAAATGTCGCTTCCCTTTCCAGAGCGGAGCCCGCGGCGGGGGGAGATCATGAAACCTGCCAGAACAGCAGCCCGAGCGGCTGCACGGGGTCAGCCCCGGGGAGACGAGGCCCAGCGAGGCCTTCCCAAGGCACCGGGGCCCATTTTATCCCTCTATCCCCTCAGAGGCCTGAGGACGGGGCCATGTCCGAGTGGGCTCCCTGCGGGCTCCCACACGGGCTGGATTTCAAACACAGCAAGTCCAGGGGAGGCTGGACTTATTTGCAGGTGAGGCTGCAAAGCTGCTCCTTGCATTGGGAAAGGCCGGGAGAAGGTTGCTCTCACAAGTTCATGCCATGGTAGGTCGTTTTCCCAAAGATCCCTCAGAGGACAGAGTAGATGCCAGGATGAATGGAAACCGGACAAGAAGAGAACATTTTCTACCAGTCACAATCTTATACTCTGCACCCTAAACGCACAGATGTGTATGGAAGTCTGAACCCACCCGTTTCCAGCACACGATCCTCACGACCCACCCTGAACTGATCATGTCCAAGCCTCCTCCATAGGCAGTTGACTCTGCGGGTTTCTGTCACAGATGTTTTGTCCTTTTCTCAGAAGCATCTGGCACCTGTGACAGGAGGACACAGCCAAGGGTGTCCTCATGCCCCAGTCTGGCCTGGCAATAGCTTCTCCTCCTACTCACAGGGATGGCCCCACAGGCGAGAGGTGTCCAAGACTCCAGAAGCCACAAGCCAATGGTCACCCAAAACCTGGGGGAAGACCTTCAGAAAGGAGAAAACCACCTTTCGAGAAATACGGATTTTCCTGCCAATCAACTGCTTCACATGCTGCTGTGTAGCAACACATCCCACTCTCCGTGTTTTATTTTATTGGAGAAAAAGAATGCACAGAGTTCTTCCCACCTCCTTGCATGGGGAATACACTGTCCCCAATATTTCCCTCTCCGCTGTCCTCCTGGCTGAGGGACTTTTGCTTCACAGTAACAGCTGTATTTTCACCTTCTTCAGAGCTGGGCCTGCTTCTGGCTTTTCTCTGGGCATCAGTGAGCCAGGCTTGGGTTTCTGGCTCGGCTTCCTAACAGTTTAAGAGCTTTCCACACCTGCCAGCCCAAGAGCCAGCCAGGGAAGGAGGCCGAGAGCTCCAGCAAAGCCGCAGAGGCACCTGGCCGTTCACACTGATCCTCAAGACCTTGAGCACCATCTCCTGGTCATTCTTAGATTCAGCGTAACCTCAGACTTGCTCCACCGTAACGCCTTGGGGACAAGCACCAAGTACAACCAAGGGAGAGAAAGGTGGGAGCCTTCTGCACATGCAGCCCCAAAAGGGCCATCGCCAGCACCACCTAAAACACCTTCATACCACGCGGAATGGCAGAGTGACAAACTCCCGACAGGTTGTTTCTGTTCTCCAAGCTGTAAAAAGAGGGATGAATAATCTCACCAGCACAAAATCCTCGGCCCGTTGATATTCAGCCATCTCGGTCCCGCGGTTCCGAGCAGTGAGGAGAAGATGCTGCTGCAAAACTCCAATCTGTTCCTCTCTGCACTCCTGCCGCTCAGGGCAGTAGGATAAAACAGTCACGGGGTCTCAGTCTGCGAGACACGGCGAGGATCACTGCTCAGTGTGTAAATACTGCCGTGGCAGAGTTCAACCTTTTGGCATGAGGGAAAGGAAGATAAATGCTAGCAGTCCCCTCCGAGCCCCAGGAACCCTGCATCTACCTAATTGCACTTCATAATGGATTCAGCAAACCATTAATTATCAGATTACATTTTAGGAAAGTGCAGATAAAAATGCTTTATGAAATTTAGTCTTAAAGGGGCCATTGTGCTGCGATGAAGCTGTTGCACTGCGCCGGCACCGGGGAAGGGAGCTTTGCCCGAGGGATCCGGACGGGCCTTACAAAGCCGGGTATTGTTCGCCACGGGGAAGGGCTCCGTGCGGCGCGGCGGTCATTATGTGCTCAGACAAAAATACCTTCGTTAATGCCAATCCACGGAGAATAGTATTAAGTGCACTTGCAATGAAGGACCTGGCACACAGAAATAGCCACTTCTGTCCTCTCAGACACGGGAGATTTGGCATCCAGGTGGATCGGATGAAGGGTCGGGAGCTCCGAGCTGGTGGCTGCTCGAAGGGACGCGGTTGTCCAGCCCTGGCTCTCACCCTTCCCAAAGGACAGTCACGCAATAGTCACAGCATGAGCGTGGATGGGATTAAACCTGCACTGCACGGAGCATCACCGGGCTGCTGGGGAGGGAACGGAGGCAGCAGAGCACACGAGGGGCTGCCCAATATCAGCAGTGGGAGCTAACTCCATCCGTGAGCAGGGTACAGCACAGATGGGAGGGAAAAGAGACTAAAGCAGAGCCTGCATCAGCGCTGACGGGAGGATGGCAGAGCAGGCGCTTTCCAGGACAGCCATCTGCTGACAGACACGACTCCAGAGCCCAGCACCACGAGGACTGGCTCTACCTGCTCGCTCTATAGCTGCTGGCAGCCCAGCACCTCGTTCCTCTGCCTCTGCTAAACCTCAGGCCTCTTGGCAGCCTGGCGGAGCCATTTAACACAACTCCCAAGAAGGGAGCAGAGGCCCAAATGACAGCCCTGCTCAGGAAAACTTCTCTAGCTTTGGCAAGTATAAGGGGAGAAGACAGGAGAGACAAAGCAGTCCTGGCACACGCTGCAGAATAGCAGATATCTGCACGAGCACTGCTGATTCAGCCATAAGAGTCTCCACCTCCACCCCCAGATCCTCAGGATAACTTCTGAATTTGCTTTCCAAGGCTATTTCATCTTCCCACCCTTGCCCCAGCTTGCACCAGCCTCCTCCCCTTCCACTCTGCTCGTGGTAGCATTGAGGCACACGACAGCACATTCCATCTTCTGGTTTTTGCTCCTGCTTTTTTATTTTTCTTGAGCTGGGAAGGGCGAGTGGTCCAGCTCACCAGAGCCAGCAGCTGCTGACTGCAGGGGAAGGAAGACTTTTCCAGGCCCACATGAACATCTACAAACCCCTCCTGTCCTTGGCCAAACTGTTTGCTGCATGTCGTGTCTTTTTGTCCGTGTTGCACATCTTGGGATTGCTTTTCCAAGGAAACCCTGAGTCTCACTGCCGAAGCAGTGGACGGATTCTGTACTAGCCCAGTGCATTCCTGAGGCCACACACGAGTACCTGCCCCTCACTCTCATTTGGTTTCTTCACAGATCAGAGTGACCTTGTCATCAAACAAGTCTTCCATAGCCACCGCCACCAGCTCCGAGCCGGCTTGGCTCCCTTGGGAATCGGGCAACGTCACAAAGACTTGGGAGCCGGCAAAGGGGGCCTCGTCGAAGGAGATGATGTGCTCGGCTGCCCCTTGCTCTGACGTCTGGATCACCTGCATGGAAGACAACCTAAGGATCAGGAAGAGCCTTACAGCACTGCTTGCCCTGCAAGCACTTTGCTTTCCACGTCTTTCCTTGCCCGAGCTCCAGTATTAACGTTCAGCTTCATGTTGGAGGCCGGCAATTACGACAGGCATGAACCTAGTGGGAAACTCCAGCCACACACACACAGAACTCAGATGATGCAAAAGAGAAGACAGGAGAGCAATTTAAATATTTCTCTCCACAAAATTGCTATAATTTAGCTCCATAAGCAGTCGTAGGCAATAATGACTCTATGATTACACACTAGTGAAATGCCAGCCCTGGGAGTCTTGGCTTATCCAAAAAGCTATTCTCCACTGATGGCTGAGAAATTAAAGAGAAGTTCTGGGGCTTCAGGCCTAGCTTTTGGCCTCTGACAAAACAGTTATCATCTCATGAGAGATGTCACTGGGGTCTGAGCGCTACAGCATTTGCATGGAGCTGCTTCCCTTCCTGCAGGCCAATCTCGCTGGCACAGGCAGCACACACATCCCACAGCATTCCAGGTTCAAGGGGCCCAAAGTGGCAATGTCAGGGGACCAAAGCAGTAGTAAGAGCCACACAGTGCACCTGGGGAAGAACAGGAGGCTTGGAAATGGGAGAATGGATGAAAACCCAAATGCCAGCACCTTCTCCGCGCAGCCGGAGGCTGCAGCTCATCTGTGTGAGCGGATGGAGCGGTCTTTACCTGCACAATCTGGGCTGTGGTGGCTTGGGCTTCTGTGACAACCACCTGGGGATGCTCAGTGCTGCAGTGACCCTCCAGCTCCCTCTGCGAGGCGAGGAGCTCCCCGCAGAGCCCGCAGGGGAAGGCGCTCTCCGGGCGCCCGCCCGGCTCCGCGGCGGCCGGCGGCCCTGCGGGAGGAAGAGGCTGAGCTCCACAGGCAGCAGAAGGGCTGGGAGGCAGCGTGGGACACACAGGGTCAGGGCTGGGAAAGAGCCAGGGCAGCCCAAGAAGGCTGAGAGCAGGTAAGGAAGGGCAGAGGCCGGCAGCGGCCAGGACGTGCACGGGGTGCAGGGCTGCAGCCTGCCCAGGGCTCAGGGCAGGTGTGTGACGATCCCCCGCGACGCCGGCCTGTCAAACACACCACACAGTTCATGGCTGTTCAGACCCATTTCAGCTCTCGGCCCTTCCAGCTCAGGTGTTCAACGACCAGGTTCGTGTATGTGACCGTAGCTAACGCTGACCCTTCCTGCAGATGCTTTTTCCCCTATTCCCTCACTCCCTCTCCATGTTGGCTGCCCTCTCTCATCTTCCTAACAAGGTCCTAGTCTCTCTGGGCTGATGTCTCCTCCTTGCTGCAGCCACCTTTGCTGTGCTGCTTTCAGCTTGGATGTCTCCTCATTGACAGGAGCAGTCTGTATGGGTAGCTGGGTTCTCCTAGGCCATGGGATAAAACAAGTAACAGCAAATTAACTGACCTGAGTGCCTGCACTTCAGGTGGACCTGCAGGAGAGCCAGTGTGGGGAAGACCTCCTTGCACGTCTCACACTCGTGGAACTTCACACCTGCAAATAAGACCACAACAAGGTGAACACCCAAGGCATTTGATAAGGGACAGCACTTCTGGATCACCTCTGCCCATAATCCAGCACCACCACCTCTGCTCGGACACTGGGAGCACCTTAGGAGGTGAAGCAGCAAAAAGAGGCACCACAAAGGATCAATTGCAAGACACTGAGATAAGACTTGTCAAAAGAGACTGTGTGACAAAGACACAAGGAACTAACTCTGCTCATAACAGGCCACAGAGCCTGTCCCGTCACAGTCACCACTACGTCTCTCCCTGCACTTGCCACGTGTTTTCGTTGTTAACGAATGTGCCATTACCTGCATGCTCTTGCTTGACATGTTTTCGGTGAGCAGCAGTGCTAGAAAAGGTTTTGTCACAGGAGCTGCATTGCAGGGAGGAGAACTTGGAGGAGCGGTGATTCTGAGCTGCAAAGACATCGGGGTGGTGGGTCCGGTTGTGATACCACAACCCCGACAGCTGCTGCAATGATAAGGATCAAAGCAAGGTTAGAATCCAAAGCTATTCCGGAGGCATTATGACAGCAAGAAGTCTGCATGGAAAGCAGTGGGAATGGTGGGGCTGTGCTCAGTAGATACGAGACACCAGCCAACCCCAGCCAGAGCAGCTCATTCCCCCACAGGGCAAGAGCCAACACCTCAGCTACAGAAACAGAACTCACTTCTATCAGAAACCCAGCACTTTAGATGCAGTCTGCAGAGGAAATTTATTCCTTTATCCCTGAAGAGTTCAGCACTGCTAAGTCCCTCATCCTTATCTCACTCACCACTGGTCCTCTTCCAGC